TAGAACTGATTCTCACCAATTGTGTGTGTGGTTGTTATAATTATTACAACAGCCCTATAGGGTGTAGAGATGAGGACACAGTGAATCAAAGAAGAAACTTACTCAAGGTCATAACAGCTAAAAAGCAGGAGAACCAAGATTCAAATACGGTTCAACTTTTCTTCCAAAATCTCTCCCTTACTCATTGTCTTTTAATTACTGGTACCAGTGGTGAAATGTCATTGCATTCCTGTGACATGTTTGACAATTTATAACAATATAGATGTTTTTGTAGGAGTAAAGAAGGTGAGCCAGACAGTGGAAAAGAGGAGATTACAGACAATGAGAATGTCAGGCAACAAGGAAAGGAAGAGTGAAGAAGTTCCTAAAGATGGTAATGAATCAATCTTAAGAAATAAAAAATTAAAAGAACATCAACAAAAAGTAGTACCAAAAGATAATTATGTTAGAAGGAATAATAAATTAAAGTAGAAGGAAGCAGTTATATTTCACTAGGAAGAAATGTACTCAGTGTTTAGAAAAGCCATAATAACCTGAAAATACAGGCCTATATTGAAAATCCATCAACTGTAATTGCTATTGAGTTGTTGTGGTGACGCTATAGTATATGTGCAAGTGGTCCAGATTAAAAAAAAATTAGGTCAATCAAAATATTTATACTCTTCCAGAAAAGAACAGTTATGGCATTGCAGAAGACAGCTTTGAGTTGCCTGAATTGCCTACTATTATTGCCTTTGATTTTGATTTTGTCTAGAATCAGGGAGGATTACCAATCCAAAATGTACTTTTCTTTTATATCAGAAAAAAACACCTAATTTTTCATGTTCCAGTATAGAAACATAAGTGTCTTAAAATGTCTGCATTTAGTTTTTATCATGAACTTTATTCTTTTGTCTAGCTGTGGGTAAAGAAGATACATCATCATTAACTGAAGTTGTAAAACAAGTTGCAAAACAACAACAATCACAAACATCAGAAATAGAAAGAAACAAAAAAGTTCTGTTTCATTTACAGGTAACTTATTTCATATAATCTTTTAAATGTCTTCAAAATTTAATAGTGACAAAAAATTTTAAAAGAACTTCATATTGGGAATCAATTTTAATTACACTATACTATCAGTCAACAAATATATGAAAAAATGTTCATTATTGCTAGCAATTAGAGAAATTCAAATCCAAACTACTCTAAGATATCATCTCACTCCAGTTAGAATGGCAGCTATTATGAGACAAACAACAATAAGTGTTGGCAAGGATGTAGGGAAAAAGGTATACTCATATACTGCTGGTGGGGCTGCAAATTGGTGTAGCCAATATGGAAATCAGTATGGAAATTTCTTGGAAAATTGGGAATGGAACCACCATTTGATCCAGCCATCCCTCTCCTTGGTCTATACCCAAAGGACTTAAAAACAGCATATTACAGGGACACAGCCACCTCAATGTTTGTAGTAGCGCAATTCACTATAGCTAAACTAGGGCCCACTTTCTATTGAGAATTTTGCTAAACATTTTTCTCAACATTGTCCTTACCCTTGCATTGCTCATGATTTATTTGGGAAGGAGTCCAAGTAAACAAATAATTGCACTCATGATGGTAGCATCAACAATAGAGGTAGTAGCCCAACATATTTAACACTGAAGAATGAGTGATTGCAAAAGAAGTGATTTTTCAATGTTGGGTATTAAAAGACAGTTGGAATTCACTGATTGATTGGGTATCTTGGTCAGGTATAAGATTAAGGGAACCTGGGATAAGGAGGATGATATTCCAGATTGACAGAATCTGAGAAATTCACAGAAGCCTGAAACAGCATTGTACATTCATAGAACCCTATGTAGTTTGATAATGGTATAGTATAGAGTATGTTTTGAGAAGAGGTGGAAGGTATATACTATGATTAAAAATTTGGACTTTATTCTAACAGTGATGAGAAACCTTTGGTTTTTAAACAAGAAGCAAATTAAAAATTGCTTTTATATAGAGAGAATTCTTTTTAAAAATATATATAAAGTGCTTGTTATAATTCAACATCCATTCATGACAAAAATGTCTCAGAAAATTAGGATTAGAAGGGAACTTTGTCCATCTTAAAAAAAAAAAAATCCTAAAGTCAACCATATACCTAAGGTTGGAAGACTGAATGTTTTTTTTTTCTTTTGTTATTTTTTTAGAAAAGTATATGACATTTTATTTTCACTTATGGATGTATAGTACACAAATTAAGAAATAAAATCATTACAGGGTTCTGAAATATTGATAGCTTATGACCTAACATACCAATAAGTCCATTCCCTGCAAGCAGCCACATTAGAGGTTCAGACTTGGTCTTTGATGCAGTAGTTTTCACATCATTACCATGAAATGCCCAGTAGCATTTGGATAATAAATTACAGTAGACATGAGCTATGTGTCAATATTCCATCTTTGGAACAAATTATGCTTATTTACATGTTAAGAATAGGTGGCTCTATCTACTTACCCTACTATGAGTTTTAATGACTGATTTTAAGCTACACAGGGTTTTCCAAAATATTATTTCTTTCAGAGCTTCTAAAAGCAACAATTCTTATTAATGTTTGTAAAAGATTATATTGGAAAAGATAATGTTAAAATGAAGGCGCTTTAAGAAACATTTAAGGACAACATAAGGTACTACTATTGGGAAAAAACCTGTACATATTTTCAAGCAAAACACTGAAATATAGTAGCAGTGTTTAATTGAATTGTTTCAAAATAGTAGTAACTACACTACCTTACATACTGTACTATTATTGAAACCTCATAATTACAATTTGAATATACAATCTGACTTACAATTTCAACTATGCACAGCTTCTGAAGCATATTTTTCAGGTTTGTTTTTGCACATGAATTGAAGTTGAAGTTGGTCCTTGATTTGGAGAACTATAACTACCTGGAAGCACTAAATTTTAGACACAGTTATTGATAGCCAACAAAAAAACGTGACAGAGAGAAAAGCAATAGTAACATGCGTGGAAAAGCAGCCGTTGCCCTAAGTGCAATATCAGATCTAGAGAGGCCTCTGGGTCTCAGTGAATAACCCCCAAAGAAACCAAAATATACAAGAGGAAGCATCTGGCCAGTCAAGGGTATTTCCCACAATGGGACAATCCTTAAAAAGTAGAGGCTTTGGACCTTTAGCATAAGAGAGACACTTTCCATTCTTTGATTCCATGCACACCTGGTAAAAAAGACAGAAGTCTGTCTTGACCCTTCATCACACGTAAACTGCTGGTGCACTGCAGCAGCTCAAGCTGACTGAGGTGGAGGCAGCCAACCAGAAACTGAAGAATCCAGACCCCCATCCTCCTCCTCCTTCCCGTGAAGTCACAGACTATTTCATCAAGCCATCTGATGTAAGTAAGAGACTTACATTTTATAGACATAGTAGAGTTAGCTCATTGTTAAACTTCGAAGAAAAGTCCAAAGGTGTGGAAAAATATGCTTGCTAACGGTGACTGCATCTACAATGACAATAACGAAACAGCTAGAAAAATAATTGTACTGTTTTAAATAATGAAAGAAGCTAATTTTAAAAAATATATTACTAATCTGCAACAGCTGATTAACTTAACAATGAGTATATTCCTTTTCTGTGAGCTGAATTTGGGTTATTTTTCAATTATAATATAGCTTCAAATTATAAATATAACCATCCCAACAGTAAAGAGATCATCAAGGCAATAACATCAGATCAATTTTACGTCATTACTTCACACAGAGCACAAGAGGTGCTTTTGGATAAAGGCTTTAAAAAGACAGTGACTAACTGTAGTAAAGACTCCAGTTCTACATCATGGAATCTTCCAAGCCAAGACACTTTCCACAAACACAGATTCAGTTTATCTTTTCTTTCTGGACCAATCTAGCAGTATCAACAAAATCTTTGCCATTGTAAAGAATAATAAAAAATGTTCCAATGCTTGCAACTCCCCAGAAGAGTACATAAGCCAGTGTTTCTGTCCAAGTGTCACCAGCCATAAGCAAACAGATAATGCACATTGAAAAGGCAACAACCATAATAATAGGCAAAGCCTGGAATTTCCAGTCCCTTGGAACACTTAAAGGACTAAGAGATTCTAATTCATCCACTAAATAGTTCCCAAGAAATAAGTCTATGGAATCCTGTCTGAATCCATCAGAAAAGTTGATCTTGTAATATCATTTGAGTGAGTTCCAACCATCCCTTATGAGTACTGAGTTCTCTTCTCAGTTCTGCTAAAGTCAGTCTTCAAGGTACCGGTTCCAGCATATTGTTTGGCACAAGCATTTGCTTTGTCAGCCCAGACATTTTTATAGATCTTCTCAAATTCATCTTGTTCTTCGAGCTTTTGTCCCACGTGCAAAACACCTGGTCTCTGAAGCTGGGCCTGAAGAGACCGACGAGCTAACAAACTCAGGATCACATTGGTTCTATCCTAGACAATCCATACAATTGCTGGGGAACACACCTTCCTGGTTTGTCACCACTTTGCCGGCAGAGTCTACTAGAAAATAACTTAATTCATCTTGAATTTCTGATACCTGATCCAATAAAATACTTAGTTGATCCCATCTCATACTTTTACATACCTTATGGAAGTCAAAGGCAATGTATCTGATCATTCCACTTCCCAAGGAAGACACCATTGTGCACAATTTGTTCTGTTTCTACAAAGTTAGCTGCATGGCCTTCAGAATCAATTCCTCTTATATAATAATCCACGCCAGCTCTGAAACAACTCCTCCTGGAGATGAGAATCCAATTGAAGTATTTTCCATTGATAGAACATGAGTGCATAGTAATAAAACCATGTGACACTGGAAGAGCAAAATGATGAACCTCAGGCTGAGCAGACAGTTCTCTTAGAAGATGACCATTCCATACAAATCGCTGATCTGCCCGTTCCAAGAGACTCATTTCTTGCAATTCTGGACTAGTGTTGGACAACTGCTGCAAAGTATGGGTCAAATCATATGTTGTTGAAAAGTAAAACCCATCCACACTCAAGACATGGTTTAGCATCATTTTTATTATTTTATTATTTATCATTTTTATTATCTTGTAACTGAATATCAGTTAAGTGCAACATTATCTTCTTATAAGAAAGGACATCAAAATCTGTTGCTTTCCAGATTACATGATTAAAAAATTCACCTATTTTTGTATTTTTGGTAATGATGATAAGATAATTACCTGCCACCAGATGGATTGTGCCCAGTATACGAAATATTGGTCTTGTGACAGCTGAAGGAGGAACATCTTTCGTGGCTATAAGGGTGACCTCTGTGGACACAGGGTCAATGGTAAGTATGTCATCTGCTTCATTATCACAAGCTTCCACATAAAATTTTTCAGGTATAATTTGCAGCTTCAGCCGCTCGTAAGTCATCGCCGCCATCCTACACCACCACTTCTTCTTCTCTGCCTCGCTGGCCTGCCCTGAGCCTCACCACCACCTCTGCTAATGCCTACCTGTCACCCTGGTACCCTAGCAACCGTGCCCGCCTCACCCCATCCCTTTGCCACCCCACGGAAAGAACTGAATATTTTTTTCTTCACATGAGTAGGAATGCAAGGATATCTGCCCTTTTTTCTATTCAGGAAGTTACTGGGAGTTGGAGCCAGTACAAACATGTAAGAAAAAGAAACAAAAGGTATCCAGATGAGAAAGGAAGAATGAAACTTTCTATTCACAGGTAGCATGATTATTTTCAGAAAATCCCAAATAATCTACAAGAAAGCTCTTAGTACTAAAACGTAAGTTTAGGATAAAAGATTGATATACAAAAACGAACATTGATATACAAAACAAAACACTGTATTTCTATATATTGGCAGAAACATATAGAATTCTATAATTTTCAGAAATTCTATAATTCTATAATTTTCAGAAATTAAAAATTTTGAAGCAATATCACTTACAAAAGTACCAAAACTATGCAATACTTAGGGATCATTTTGATATAAGGCTTATCAAATCTATATGTTGAAAATGTAAAATGATGATGCGAAAAATTAAACAACATTTAAATAAATGGAGACAGTATGTTGAAAATCAGCAACCACTGCGTTATGATGTCAGTTCTCCCAGGTTTACTTATAGATTAAAAGCAGTACTAGTAAAAATCCCAGAAGGTTTTGTTGTTGTTGTTTGCTTCCTTTTTGCCGCAGTCTGGCTGGGCACAATTCAAAAGCCACTTATCAAACAGAAACTAACTTTATTTTTAGAACACACACACTGTACCACAGAGTTCTTCAGGAATTCCCTCAGAGCCCAACTGCCACCACCCGCTTCCCACAAGCCTCTCAACCCCCACACTTCTCCTGCACTTGAGGCCGATTGGCTGGGTCGCATGGGCAGAGCTAAAAGAGGCCCCCAATGAGCAGCTCTGTGGTCTGAAAGGGCAAGGAAACAGCCCAATGAGCATCACTGCAGAGGAGCCAATCAGCTGGCAGCTGGCAGTATGCTGGGGCTGCTGTGAGCCAATCATCAGCTGGCAGCTGGAAGTTTGCTGGGGCCCCTTCACCTGTGGCTCTCAATACTTTTTGAGTAATTGACAGACTGATTTCTACAAGTTGTATGGAAATACAAAAGAGGACCTAGAACAGCTAAAATAATTTTGAAGAACAATGTTGGAAGTCTTATACTACTTTGGATATTTTCCAACACCAACAAACAATTTTCTGATTCTCGCAATGCCAACTTCATATTGAATAGTTCAATTAAATTCTGATATTATTTGAGGTTAGCATCAGATCTCACAAGTTAAAGGAATCATCCCCACAAGGCTTCCCGATTTCCAATGTCAATGATAATTCCCAGACCACTCATACTTCTGACCAACTGACTATAAATCAGGGGTATTTTAGTCAGTTTTTTTTAATCACTATCATAAATACTTGAGAAAAATAACTTAGAATAGGAAAGCTTTGTTTTGGCTCATGGTTTTAGAGGATTCAGTCCATGGTCAGCTGGCTCCAAGGCAGGAATGTCATGGAAGAAAGTGTGGCAGAGGAAAGGTCCTTATCCCATGGCAGTCAGAAAGCACAGAGAAAAGTAGGCTCCTAGGATGGATAGTCCCCAGAGCGTGCCCCAGTGATCTATATCCTTCCAAATGCCTCATCTTCCTTTAGTTCCTGCCACTTCCCAGTAGTCCATGCAGCTGTCTGTGGATTATTCCCCTGATGACATCAGAGCCCTCACCATCAATCATTTTCCAAAAGGCCACCTCTGAACCTTCCTGTACTGAGGACCAAGCCTTCAAGAAATGAGACTTCAGGGAAAATACCAGATCCAGACCACAACGAGGGTTTCTCATGTCTACCCCCCATCCATACTCAAGGCTTAATAATTTGCTAGAGTGAATCACAGAACTCAGGAAAGCACTTTACTTACTATTACTAGTTTATTATAAAAGATACAATTCAGGAACAGCCAAACAGAGAAGATGCACAGGACAAGGTGCTGGGAAGGGACTTGCATAGAGCTGCCATATGGAGCACACCACCTTCCCAGAACCTGGAGGTGTTCACCAACCTGGAAGGTCTCCAAAATTCATCATTAAAATTTTTTTTTATGGAGGTTGCATCATGTAAGTTGACTGATTATTAGCCTCTCTCCTCTCCCAAAAGGTGGGGGCAGTGTAGATAAGGACTTTAATCAAGTCTCAGCCTTTCTGATAGCCAGTCCCCATTCTGAAGCTCTCTAGAAGTCCATTGAGAGTTACCTCATTCCAAAACAAACAAACAAAAAACCCAAATTTTTAAAAAATTAGATAGTAGAAGAACACTTGAAAATCTTCATGCCAGGAAAATTCCTTGGAAGGAAAATTCCTAGGAAGAAAGGAAGATAGGTAGGAAGGAAAAGGGGAGAAAATGTTTGGGGTAATGGATATGTTTATTATCTTAATTATTGTGATGACTTTATGAACATAATAATATTAAAACTCATCAAATTGCAGCTTCAGTATGTGTAGTTTCTTTCATTCTACTTTGCCTCAAAAATCTAGAGCAAAGGAGCATACAAGACTGAGAAAAGAGAGAAGAGAAAGATAAAAGAGGAGGAGAAGGAGGATGAAAAACAAGAGGCTGATTAAGAGGAAGAAGAAGAGGAAGGAGTAGTGGTAGTAATTTAAAGTTGGAAATGTATTGAAGGAAAAAGATATTAAAGCTAGTAATAAAATTTAACAGCCTGTTACATTCGATCAGAAAAGAGAGGGGATGATAACCAAAGTAGTGTTCATCTCCTCTCCCTGTATTAATAAATAGAGTTGATATCCTAATGTAACTGACAGAACACTTGTCTCTTTCCTGACCATGTGCATCACTCACTTAATAAACACTGAGTACTTACTTTGTGCTAGTACTAGCGTAAGCATTGGGAACATGGTGATAAGGACAGAAAAGATTCCTGCAGCCATAGAGTTACTTTACAGTTAGGGGAGGCAAAAATTAAAGAAGTTTTCTTAAAAAATAATAAAATAATGGATAATTTTAGACACTGATGGGTTCCAAAAAATATAAAGGAGGGCAATGTATAGAGAGCAAATGTGGGAGGGGAAAGGGGGTTAAATTATATTTTGAATCTGAGAAGCCTATTTGGAGGAATAGTAATAAAGCTGAATTGTGACAAGACCCAGCAGTGTTAGAGAATTTTTTTAATGTCATGCTGGGGATTGAACCCAGGGTCTCATGATTGCCAGGCAAGTGCTCTACCACTGAGCTGTATCTCAAGCCCAGGATTGAGAATATAAGGTAGATGGAAAAATAAACAATTACAAATGCTCTTGGGAAGGAATTAGACCTATTTAATAAACAGAAAGGAGGCTAGAAGAAGGGAGAATTATAGATGAGAAAGATAGCAAAGTCGATAGGTACTAGAGCATATAAAGCCATATAAGCCACTTTGGTGAATTTGAATTTTATTATTAATGCAATGGGACACCACTGGAGATTCTTGAGCATGGAAGTAGCATGACATGATAAATGTCTTTCAAAGATCCTTCTTCCTGATAAATGGAGCCTAAGAGAAGGACAAGAATGAAAATAGGAAGATGATTAGAAATTAGGCCACACCACAAAGATTGGTCAGAAGTAAATGTGGGGATTTATGTTAGAGAACCAATTCTCACATTTTGGTGGGAAGTAGGATGTGGGATAAGGGAAATGGGAAAGTTAAGAATAACTTTATGGCTTTGGATTATCCAGGTGGAAAATGGTGTAGTTTGTTGGAATCAGAAGAAGTAAGGAGGAACATGTTTGGTGTGTGGTGCAGTTTGTACATAAGGTGTTGCCTAAAAGCTCCTGTGTTAGTGCAGGAATGTTCTGATGTGCAATGATTGGATTGTGAGAGCTTTAACCTTCTAATCAGTCCATCCTAGTGTGAATGTACTGGATGGTAACTGTAGGCAGCTGGGGTTTGGCTGAAGGAAGTAGGTCACTGGGGAAGTGCCCTGGAAGGGTTCATCTTCCCTGTGACTTCCTTCCTACTTTTCTCTGTCTACTTCCTTGCCTCCATGTCTTCCACCACTCCCTTCAACTATGTTGTGCTGCCTCACTTGGACCCAGAGGAATGGACTGGACCTCTGAGACTATGAGCCAATATAAACTTTTCCTCCTCTCCATCGTTCCTGTTGGGTATTTTGGTCACAGCAATGAAAGGCAAACAGTGTGTAACTTAAATATTTTCTGAATATATCTAACTGAGGTGTCCATTAGACACCCAAACCGAAATGTCAAGTGGGCATTTGAAATATTAGCACTGAAGACAAAAATTGAGTTTCACCAGCATATTGTACTTTTCAATGTACTTATCTTTTTGGTCTTTGTCAGAAAAAGGATTGAAGGCCTTTGTCTTTTTAATACAATACCTTCCTCCAAACATTAAAACTTTATTTAAAGAGAATGACCATATAGATAGAAAAAAGGAATGGAGATAGCCAGCAATTATTTTGGTGGGAGGATTTATAGAATTTGATGTATAGTTGTTTTTTTTTTTTTTTTTTAAAAAAGCCATACTGTTAAGTACTTTGGGGAATATAGAGTTATGTTAATTTGCATTTTTGTTCCCAATTTTTCATCCCTTTCTATATTGACACCCTTTCCTATATCATTATAATGTTCTCACATCATGGGTAGACATACTTCCACTACTTGACTCTTGAGTTTGATCATGTGACTGGCTGGGGCGGGCATTAGCAGATATGATTCCAGCAAAAGCTTTTTAAAAGCTCTTAAATAGTTGAGCTTTGGCTTTTCTGTATCTGCTATCATCATGAGAAGGACATGCCTGGGCTGACCCACTGGAGGACAGGAGACAGATAAAGTAGTAGCAAGACACCCCTGCCAGCTCAGTTCAAAGCCAACCTAAATTGTCTTACAACCAGCCAAACCACAGACATTTTTTTCTTTGGTAAATACATAAATACTTAAATTTCAGATGTATCTGTATGTTTAAAAGACATAGTACTTATAGTACATAGTATCTGTATACTAATGTAGGAGAGAAACAAAAAAATTACAAACTGCCTGACTAGAGTTCAAAATTCAAAACCAGTATTTGACACTTACTGGTGAAATGATGAATTATCTTTGTTATTCAACATCTCAGAACCTCAGTTTCATTATCATACAGAGGGAATAACAATGGCAACTGATGAGGGCACTCACCCATACCATTCCTTCTCATTTCTTAGTTTTACTTGGGAAACTGGATACAAAACTCTGTGGTTAATTCATATTTTCCTTTTTAAAAAATTCCAAGAGAAGAAACTAAATGAATATGTTTCCTGAGTAAGGGGACTTAAAATTTCTGCCTAAAAGCAATTTTGAAAGTAAGCCGCCCCAGGGCAGGGATGTGACTCCAGTGAGCACTTGCAAGGCCCTGGATTTGATTATCAGGTACAGATACACACACACACACACACACACACACACACACACACAGGTGTTTGAGATGTGATTAGAAACACCTAGCCAAGCTAGCCAATCCCCACTTCTCCCAGTCATATGAATCACCTAGCCAACCCCTTCTTTTCCCAGTCATGTCAGTCATGAACACGTATTTATTGTTGTATCACTGAGGTTTTGTGGTTCTGGCAATAGATAATTGATACAAGGGGAAATAGGCTAGGAAGGGAGGAAAAATTAGTCTTTTGGGGACATGAGTTTGCCATGGCCAAGGGCATCTGGCTATGGAATTCAAAAGTCACTTTTATTCTCCGTATCATCAGTAGATGCATAGCTGAAAATTATAAGTATGGGCAAGGTAACCCAAGGGTTATGTAGAGAGGGAGAAGAGGGAATGATGAATTACTGAACTCTGAGGAAGACCTGTGTTTGAAGAAATCACTGAGATTAAGAAGGAATGCTCAGAGATAGCTAAGGAGAATGAGGAAGAGTGGTGCTAGAAAAACTCCTTTTAAGGAGGCACCAGTTAGCTATGCCCAATGCCCTAGAGAGATAAAATAGATATTGTAGATATCTTAATACTCATTTTACAAGTGAAGAAAGGGAGGTGGGATGGGTAATTAAATTTGTTATGCATGATCACACAAAATAGTGAACAGCAGTAAGGGCTGCTGGAACCTAGGTCTAGGTCTTTTATTTTATTTTATTTTTTAGTGCTGATGGACCTTTATTTTATCATTTATTTATATGCAGTGCTGAGAATTGAACCCAGTGCCTCACACATGAGAGGCAAGTGCTCTACCACTGACCACGATCCCAGCGGGTCTTTTAATTCTTGAGTCAGGGTTTTATCATTTTTATTATATTGTCTTCCTTGACACCCATAAATATATTATTAAAATATATTATTAAATGGTTTTAATATTTTTATACATAAAATATCAAAACAAAATGATGAAATTTAACATTTAGAATTAGATGACCATTAAAAAGCAAGAAATATATAATTCTGGGAACTTTCTGAGAAAGTAGTTGTTACATTATTGCATATTTCCTTCTATTATGCATCAGTTCTTTTCTGTATCTGATTAATGTATTTATTTATGTTAAGTGATTTTCCTATATGCATTATGGATCAAAACAATTTTCCTCTCATGCTGAGTACCATGAATTAATAATGATAATGTTGAAATATATTACAGAATGAACTTCATGAGCTTGAAAAGCAAATAGCAGCCATCTCTGCAGAAACTAAAGAAACAGAAAGGCAAATTTATCAGAAGGATGCTGCCATAGAGAATTCCAGACTTCAATGTGGAAGCCTGGAATCTCAAATCAAGTCCTTATATACAGAGAATGTGAAGCTTAAGTTTGATATCGAAATGGCCCAAGAAGATTTTGAGGAACGCATGATAAAATATAAGACTTACTATGCAAAAATAAAAGCACATAAAGACAGTTTGGGGGAGATAGAAAGCCAATGGTCATTTATGATTGAACTCTGTGAAAAACGAGATCTAGTAAAAAAACTAAAGACAATGAAAGAGGAACTTATACAAGATCTCCAAAATCCAGAAGGGAACCAAATGACACAAGTACAGGTTTGAATTGTTACTTATCAAAACTTTTTCTTTCATTCTAGTATGTATTAAATAGTACATTCATCATTAAGTTAATAAAATGCTATTTTATTACATTCAGAAACTATTTTCACAATTTTTAAGAACTTGGATAAGTGCATGAATTTAGATAACAACTACCTCAAATGTGCAAATGCATAAAGGAAATATTTACAAATACATTGTGGATTTCTAAAAAATATATAGTTAAACAAAATCACAGTGAACAGTTAATCCATGTGTTACAGAAAGTATATATTCAGAGAAAGGTTGAGGCTCTAGCTTCTATGCCAATGCATCCAGACCAATTCCAACCAATTTAGTATGCTGTTATGGAAAGAGTCTGAATTAAGAATTGCACTTTAAACATCTTTTTATTTCTCTTACTATTCTTTGAAGTCAATAATAAGTACAAATTTAAAATACCATTTTTTTTTTGCTATTGAATTAAGTATCCTTTGCATTGTTGTCAGGCAAATGCCATCATAAATACCACTTTCCTTTGTCTTAATTTGTTTTTACTTCTGAGTTTTCAAAGTAAGGTAGCTTTGTTTGAATAATAGTTATTTATCCAGTATACCTATAGAAGTCATAATCTAATCCTATGTATCAAAATTAAAATTTAATTTATCTACTTTTCTTAAAATATGGCCACACTGAATGTTGCAGGTTTATATGAACCATGCCTTTCTGACTTGTATATTTTAAATTTAATAACTATACAGGAAGACATTTCAAAGCTAAAGAATGAAATTATAACTGTAAAAGAATCTATCATTGAAAAAACTTGTTTTCTTGAGGAAGAAAAAAGGAGACATGAAAAATTAACAAAAGAAATAGAGGTAAGTGTTAATTATTGAGATTTCAATGTTTTGTAAGATCAGGTTTTAAGCATATGCTACATTCATGTTTCCATAGTTTACTCTCAATTATCAAAACACCTAGAGAACAAAAAATTTTAAAATTCACTAAATAAATGCATATTATTAATAGATAGACTCCTCACTCAAAGATGTTCAAATATGTTCAAGCAAAGGAATTACTACTATTTAAATATGGCCTAGAATTCTTTCAGGTTTCATTGCACCCACAGCTTGATATCTGCTTAATGGCAAGACAGCAGAGGCTATAGTCATAGAAGATGACAATTCCTAGACACCAGATACTCCTAGAAATAAAGTGAAAGACAATGGGAATCATCCTCATTCTAAATCTCTCTGATTACGTATTTGTAATTCTCAAGAGCCAAGTTTTTTAAAAAGCAATATGTAAAACCAAAAATGAGACAAAATTCTCATCAAAAACCTGCAGACTTTTACAGTGAATTATTATTTACATGAATGGAGACAAATATGGTAAAGAATAAGCTTTTAATAGTAAAAATGCATTCCACTATGACAGCATTAATATGAAAACTAAGAAGATACCTATTTTCACTTGATTATGACTAATCTGACACAATATAAAAAGCATCTGAAGTATTAAAGATAAAATACTCACCTTTTCATGTTCTCTATAAAGAGATACCATGGAAGTACACCATAACAATAGAGAAGACAAGACTCAACTCTTAAATTTTTTTTGAAGCTGGTAAGGTGTAGAACACCTGAAGTTTTAAACACTATTTGTGTCTGTATACATTGTTAAAAGCATTTTGGAGAGGAATTTGAGATTATGTAGTACTTTTCTTATGCTGACATGTTTTATCAAGGCACAATTGTCATAAGTCCATAAATTGTAAATGTTTGATTTTTTATTTTTATGTGTTCTTTTTAGTTACACATGACAGTAGAATCCACTTTGATATATTTAGACAAGCATGGAATATATCTTATTCTAATTAGGATCCCGGACTTGTGCATGTATAGGATGATGAGATTCACTATGGTATGTCCATATCTGTACATAGGAAAGTTACATCAGATTCATTCCAGTGTCTTTTCCATTCCCATCTCTTTCTCCCTTCACTTCATTCCCGTTTGTCTAAAGCAATGAACTTCTTTCTTCCCCATCCCATTATTGTGGGTTAGCATCCACATATCAGAGAGAACATTCAACCTTAGGTTTTTGGGGATTGGCTTATTTCACTTAGCATGATAGTCTCCAGATCCATTAATTTACTGGCAAATGTCATAAAGTAATTCTTCTTTATAGCTGATTAGCATTCCATTGTGTATATATACCACAATTTCTTTATCTATTCATATGCTAATGGGCATCGAGGTTGTTTCCATAGCTTAAGTATAGTGAAATGTGCTACTATAAACATTGATGTAACTTAGTCACTTTAGTAGGCCAATTTTAACACCTTTGGTTAAAAATTGGATAGTGAACTAACTAGATCAAATAGTGGTTTCATTCCTAGTTTTTTGAGGACTCTTGGTACTGTTCAGAATGGTTGCACTAATTGTAGTCTCACCAACAATGTATGAGTGTAGGCTTTTCCCCACATCCCACCAACATTTATTGTTACTTGTATTCTTCATAATTATCATTCTGGTTGGAGTGATGTGAAATCTCAGTGTAGTATTTGCTTGTTTGTTTGTTTTTGAATTTCAAAGTGTATTTTGACATTTATTTTCTATTTGATTTATAGACGTTGAACATTTTTTCATATATTTTTTAACTATTCATATTTCTTCTTTTGAGAAGTATCTTTTTAGTTCCTTTGACCACTTACTGATTGTGTTATTTGGGTGTTTTTGGTTTTGGTTTTGGTGTTAAGATTTTTTAGTTCTTTGTAGATCCTTATGTGAGGTGCCGGTGGCAAAGATTTTTCTCCCATTCTGTAGGTTCTCTCTTCACACTCTTGGTGTTTCTTTTGCTGTGAAGAAAATTTTTTGTTAATGTTCTGTAATTTTCATTATATAGATCTTTCACCTCTTTCATTAAGTTGATTCCCAAGGTTTGTTTGTTTGTTTGAGGCTATTGAGAATGGGGTAGTTTTCCTCACTTCCCTTTCTGAGGATTTGTCACTGATATACAGAAATGCCTTTGATTTATTAGTGTTGATTTTATATTCTGCTATTTTGCTGAATTCATTTACTAGTTCTAGAAGTTTTCTGGTGGAACTTTTAGGATGTTCCAGATATAGAATCATATCATCAGCAAATAGTACCAATTTGAGTTCTTCTTTTCCTATATGTATCACTTTAATTTCTTTCATCTGTCTAATGGCTCTTGCCAGTGTTTCAAGAACTATGTTAAATAGAAGTGGTGAAAGAGGGCATCCCTGTCTTGTCCAGGCATTTGCAGGTAAATGGATGGAGTTACAGAAGATAATGCTAAGTGAAGTTAGCCAATCCCAAAAAAACAAATGCTGAATGTTTTCTTTGATATAAGGAAGCTGATTCATAGTGGGATAAGGAGAGGGAGCTTGGGAAGAATATAAGAACTCTAGATTGGGCAGAGGGTTAGGAGGGGAAGGGAGAGGGCATGGGATAATTGGATGTGATGCTCATTATTATCCAAAGTACATGTATGAAGACACGAATTGGTGTGAGTACACTATGCATACAACCAGAAAAATTGAGCTCTATATGTGTAATAAAATTGTAATGCATTCCGCTGTTGTATATAAATATAAATAAATAAAATTTAAAAAGAAACTTTTTCATGTGATACCAACCCATTTATTGATTTTTTATTTTACTTCTTGTGCTTTAAGAGCCTTATTAAGGAAGTTGATTCCTAAGATGACATGTTGAAGTGTTGGGCCTACATTTTCTTCTAGTAGTTCTGGTTTAATACCTAGGTCTTGATCCACTTTGAGTTTTTTGTGCCGGGTAAAGATAGGGATTAAATTTTATTTTACTACATATGGATTTCCAGTTTGTTTGAGTTGATTTTCATTTTGATTAATGTAAACATGCATCTGTGTTACCATCATCTAGATCAAGACATAGAACTTTCCCACCATGTCCAGAAAGTTGTTTTGTGCCCCTTTCATAGGCAAACTGCAATTTCATCAGCTGAGTTTTGAAAAGAGATTTACTGAGAAATAACTCATGTTCTATTCACCATTCAAATTATTTAATTCAGTTGCTCTTAGTATATCTACGGATTTATGCAACCATCATCCAAATTAATTTTAAGAATTTTCTTTACCTCAAAAGAAACCCATTACTTTCACTGTGACTTCTCCATCTTTCCCTGTTTTATCCCTAATTTTGTTCCACCCTGCTTTTTCTGCTTTCCTGATCTCCTAAGATTCTGTCTTTTATCATTTCCTTTCTTGCTAGAAAACTTCTTAATTCATTATCCTAGGGTAGGTCTGCCAGTGACAAATTCTTTTATTTTATTTATTTAGAGTAGGCAAAAGATCTTTCATGGCTGTTGTGTTCTTCTCAAGCCCTGTTGATGTGTGCTGTTCTCTTCACAGGTGCAACATAAGAGGTATTATGCAATTCTTAAGCGTTTACATTGTCAGGTGAACAAGCTTCAATCAAATAGAAGACAATGGCAATGGAACATTCAACAGCTGGAAAAAACTGCAGCTGAACTAAGAAAATGTGTTGGAATGAAAGAGTGACATTGCCATCAGGCAATGTGGAACACAGATCATGACAACAAAACTTTGGGGACAGAATTTTAAGAAAACCCTTTGGTTACTTAACAACCAGCTTCTACTGGCAAAGGCCTGTCTAAATGACAGATGCGTTTTCTCTTTTTTGAATCAGTTATCTGTTGGTTAAAGTACCTCCCAACCTTACAATGGATGGCACTAGATAGACAAAAGCAATGCTTACAAGAAAACAGTGGAAGGACCTTTGTGAATATTTCAAATGTGAATACTATATTATGCTTACATCTTTTTAAATACATTTATTTTATGTATTTTTATGTAGTGCTGAGGATCGAACCCAGGGCCTCACATGTGCTAGGCGAGTGCTCCACCGCTGAGCCACAGCCCTGACCCCCATTATGCTTACATTTTAACAATGTTGTATTCATTACCCTACAAAGTAAAAAATTAGAAGAAGAGAAACAATCGGATTTTCAGTAATTTAAATTGGGTTGTTTTCAAAGTTTTTATTAGATCATGCTTTTTACGACTGCCTTCATAGTAGCCCACAAATATTATTATTCACAATAATGTTGTTATATATTTAATGTTCCAGATATTTCACTCAGATTTCTCTTTTATCCAGAAGGTAACAATCATTTTTTCTTTCTTATTAAATAACATATTTTAGAGTATTGCAATACGTAATATTTTTGTTCCTTTTTCTGTCTATACATACTTTATTCTACTGTGACTAAATTAAAGTTACAACATCACGTAAAGCAAAAATACAAGCAAGTTCTTGAAAGAAGTTAAATAATATAGACAAACATTTTCATTCACTCAGGAAACATATTATGTCCATGGCAATAGGTCAAATGTTAACTTTTTCTTTTAAAATAAGTTATGGCTATTTCATGGCTCCAATGAGCCAAATACTTGGTGGCAAAAACAAAATATTAATTATTGCAGGGACTGTTTTAAATATTCTCTAGTAGGATTAAATGATTTCAAACCAACATCAACAAGTCATTTCAAATCCTTTTTCTCCTCACCTTTCTATGTGCCTGAGATTCATACTAAGTGTAGTTGATATAAAACTTGATATAAATAATCTCATTATGTCTTATCATGGTTCAGCCTGGCTTACTGTGGTTAACATTTCAAATAGCTTATTCTGTAACATAATCAGCTTTGGTCCATGACTCAGAAACACAGCTACAAATGAAAATGGTTAAACTTACAGATTGTAGACAGTACCCACTAAAGTCAGCTAGAGATAAGGCTGATATAGATTCTGATCATATAAGTATATTTTAGTATAATTTGTAGGTTAAGAGTTCTTATATTGACACTTCATAATTTTAGCTATACCTTGTAAGAGAAAAATTTTCTAAACTTTTTAAGTTTATCATGAGATTAAAAATATTTATACATGATAAATAACACCTTGAGTTGTAGTTTCAAGAAAATCCAGTGTTTAAGAAGTGACTGCACTAGTTGAGAGTTGTCAAGAGACCACAGAAAGGGGCAAATTGATCCCAGATTGCACAGAGTACAAGTTACTGGGGACTTACTGACACAACCATGGTCAAGAGTGACAACAAGACTAGTGGATCCATATCAATGTGGGCTTAAAAAGAGTGGCTTTCACCCAAGTAGAAGTATACCTGGACTTATCACAAGCTAACATCAAAGATGTCAGGCATATTCCTGGAGCTGACAGTGCTAGGGTCTGGTCGTAAAGCTCCACATACCTCTCTAATGATTTTGTTAATCTCTCATAGTCTCGGTAACTATAAGGCAAACAGGCCAGAGGTTTCTCAGAGGCACCCATGGTGGCTACAATTCAAAATGGTTGCATTCAGGTTCACTTTTAAACTAAGATAAAAAAATATATAGAGGTCTAATATACTTCAGATAATGTAGTTTTTAAAAGTATCAGTAATAATAAATGCAATTATTTTCAATATTGAGGAAGTTCAATTATTTGAGAGAAAGCATTTTTCTTTTCTCTTTCTAATCTTTAACATGATTTCAGATAGTGGAGAGTTTAATATTAATCAAGAACTAAAATATGAAGTGACCTCAAACCTAGTGAATTGGTAGATATGACATTTCAGCCCCATCATAAAGCCTAAGGTTGGAAAATTGAAGTTTTTTTATTTTTATTTCCGTATAACTGAATCTAGCTTAGAATATGAGACCTTTAGCCTAGTGTTCGGATAGACTCTCTTTTGTTACTATAACAGCATAACTGAGGCTGTTTAGTGATCAAGAAAAGAATTTAGTTAGCCCATAGGTTAGGAGGCCGAAAGTACAAATAGGATACTTTGGCACCAGCTCTGGCAAGGGCAAGGGCCCCTCTTGCTACATTACCTCATGGCAGATGGCATCATGGTGGGAGCATGTGCAGGAATGACAGATCATATTGCAAGATGGGAATCCAAAGAGCCACTGGGGACTACTTGAGGTTCTAGGAGAACTATGCAATCCCTGAGGACCTAAGGACTTTCCACTAGTGCCCACCTCTTAAAATCCCACCACCTAGACATTACCACACTGAGGACCAAGCCTCCAATATATCAACCGTATATATACAAACCATCTCATGGTCTTTCTCATGTGTTTCTTGTTTAAAACTCTCTTTGGGGTTACCACTCAGTTCATAATTCTTGTCCTCATTTTCTTCTCCTGGGAAATGGTAAGTTCCTGAGGAGTTTAAATTGCTTTGTCATCAGAAGCAAGGCTGTGGCCCAAGTGCCATTCTCTGACATCACTGGCCTCTGCAGAAACAGAATCCATTCTTCCTGGTCTTAAGTATCATCTCTGTCAATGTTATACCTGCAGTCTTTCCTCTGATAAATGAAATCTACTTCCTTGTCCAATCACAATTCTTCAAAAGCTATGATTTAAAGAATATTGTTTTTAATACATACTTTAAGAAGTATCTGTCTTCACCCTGGCCTGCTAGGTGCTACTACCGAAATGATAGGGAAAAGGTAACTAATGGAAGGAAGCAGAGGGAGGAAAAAACTCACAGTTAATATCTTAAAATATTACATATGAAATATATGTGCAAATTAGAGCTGATATCTCAAAATATTACTACAAATGCAAGCTGTGGGCAAATTAATGGACCAATGTTCAGAAATTCATATCTACTTTGCAGCCATATCTTAACAACATAGAAAAATTTTACATATTAAATCCAGTCACATTAACCATCATGGATCCTTGCATGGTGAACATAAAGTACCTACATGTTATCTTTTCAGCCGTGTTTCTTCTAGTCCATTTATTAGACATGCTATTTTCCAAAATACTACTGATATGAAAACAACACTAAACAACAGTATTGTGCTCAGAAACTGTGATATTTCATATTTGGCAAATTTTGTACTTTATTTCATTGAATTCCTAAAATAATGGTATAAGGCATACGTAATTATCCCCGGTTTATTGATGGAGGAAATGAGGCTAGACAGGTAATGCAACTTTCCTAAGACCTAATCACACAGCTCATGAGGTGGAGATAAAATTTAAAGTCCTATTTTAGTTACATGGCAATACAAGAAAAGGACTCTAAGGGTAAGTACAACTGTACTATAAATTAGAAATAATTCATGTTTATATTTTACCTGTCATTTTCATAGATTGTAAAGCATAAATGGATTTAATCAAAGAGAAATTTTATAGTTAAAAATAATCAGCACTAAAATGCATAGGTAATTCTACATTGGTGTCTGAAAAAGCATTTTGGTTAAGGAAAAGAGCATTCTGTTTATAAAAAAAAATGCTTTGGAAACTTTTGAAATTCACAAAGGAAATTGCAATTGAATTGAAACTAAGTTCCTTGTCATCTTATAGTGAATGTGGGCTTCACCACTCATCCATAAAACTTATTAAACTGCTAAATGAATAATACAGTGATTTGGTGCTATCAGAAGTGGCAGTCCTTGTTTCATAAGAATGTGTGGTTTTGATTTGTTAGTTGCTCGTATTTTACTTGCTCCTATTTTCACTATTGTACTTTATTTTTCATTACCAAGGTAATGATTACTAAAGCCAATGATCAGAATCTAGAAGTTATGTGCCTATCACAAATGACCTATGTGATTCAAATTCTAAGGGAAGTGTTTTTCTTTGCTGATAAACTTGGCATTGTAAGAAACAGGTCTTCTATATGCTATTAGCTACTATAAATAGTTTCTGTTGAATATTACTGAAAGTATGACTAAAACCAAGAAAAGTACTAATAGCATAATAGATTTAATCAATACATAGCTAAGAATGGGATGCTTCAAATTGCTTTTTCTTTTTTATAATGTTCCATTTAAATGATGGCTGTGAGCTTTAAAACTTTGGGAATTCTTTTTTTAAAAAGCATATGAATTGAGTTACTGTAATGACAGGGTTGCTGTTTACATAATCCAGTGAAGTCTGACATGCAGTAATTAGACTTCAACCTCTTAATTAATGAGATGGTGTATTCCAAAAGCAAAAACCAGAGTTTGAGAGAGAAATCATTTTTAAAAACTTCTTACCCAGAAAGCTCTGTGGCATAAAAATCATGTCAAAATTGGAATAAACACTGAAATTGCAGAAATTTGCCTGCATTGCTCAATCTCATAGCACAAGGTAATTTAGAGGCTGTGATAATACACTGTCAGTCTAAGATATAAATTTTCCAATATTTTTTCCTAAAGTAAATAAGTCAAGACACATCATCTACTTCATTTGCTAATATTTATTGTTCCCCTGACATTAGTCTACATAGAATAGACCCCTGTGATCCCTGTGCTTGTGTTGGAGAAGCCTCCTTAAGGTGTTTTCAAAACCTTTTCTCCCTGAATCTACAATCCTTCTTTCTATATGTGACATGCAAAAAATAGCAAGCCAAAAATTTGCATGGGTTGTTTGTCTTCCATGACTTAGCATTAACTAGCTGATGCACAGATCTAGCCCCATGTCAATATATATACTTGGCAGAAAATATCACAAAATTTTCTCTTTGTGCACCTTTTCCAGAGACTGACAGCCACTTCAGTTGTCTATCAATCCTTAAGGTGAGAACTATCCAAGAGCATCCCCATCCCTTAAATGTACTATTGACTTTGCTGGACAGCTAGATAACATAGGTATTATTTTAATTTGTGGTTCATACAAATTTGCATAAAACTCTCAATTCTCAGAAAGACCCATTTTTCCCTAACCCATAACTTATTTAGATTATTCATCTAAGCCTTTCAGTCTCAGTCTGTGCATGTAGTTTACCCATGCACAGGTTTAACAATTGGTGTAATTCCCTCATGTTTCTTTTATCTATTTGCATCAAAAATACCACTTCCTCATTCAGACTCTTCCTTTTTCTGTCCTTGAACATCCATAAATTGCATTACCTTCAGGCTTCAGTTCTCAATTTTTGGAACTCCAAAGCTTCATCTACTGTTCTAAAGTGAGATCCCAAACATTGAAAACAATTTCTTCATTTCCAGCTGCCTTATGCAAGAGAATCTACCGTTACTTCAAAATGCTTCACTAAGAGAAGCTTTCTCTGGAACATTGTACAATAGACACAGTTAATGTTCTGCCCAGATCCTCTCAGACCTTGTTTTCTCCTTCCCAAGCAGCCCTCTCCCTTTTGAGGCATGCTTTTACCTCCAATTGCTCTTATCTGAGACTTTCCTTGGAAGGTTTGCTATCCTCAAAAGGACTTTGCCTGGTACTACAGTTTGGCTTTGTCCTTTTTTCCTTACCAGACTTGCTTCCCATTCTGATCTCTCCTAGGAAGCCTTTAATAATAAACAACTAACTCAGGAATCTCCATCTGAGTCCACTTCCAGGAATCCCTAAGTCACCTGTGGCAATAATCACACAATGCAATCTTCATTTTCTTTTCTTTCTTTTTTTTTAGGCGCCAACTAGTTTTATTTTTTACATATTTGAAGAAGTGATTAAAAAGACAATGTTAATCAGCTTTTTTAGTCGCACAATAATAATAGAGAAAGTAATGGTTTGTTTGCAAGTTTCATTTGTATGTGGGGCCAATTGCAATAAACTTCAAGAAAAATTCTAAGTCTGTGGAACATGGACTTTAAAAAAAGCAGTTGGGCTGGGGATGTGGCTCAAGTGGTAACGCTCTCGCCTGGCATGCACCAGGCGCTGGGTTCGATCCTCAGCACCACATAAAATAAAGATGTTGTGTCCACCAAAAAACTGAAAAATAAATATTAAAAAATTCTCTGTCTCTCTTCTCTCTTCTTCTTTTTCTTTTCTCTCTCTCTCTCTAAAAAAAAAAAGCAGTTGGAATTAACACTGCTTTTACATTCATGGCTCAAGGAAGCTGTCGTGTTTTGTTTCTTTGTACGGCAGATATAACCATATTGGTAGGAGCACGTAACTTTTCACATAGACACCAAGAGACCAATCTGTATACACAAACTAAAAATTGAAAATGGATCTATTCAGACCTTACATTATTGAATCATATATAAAATCATAATGTGAATTTGTTGACAACTTCCCAGAAGACAGAACAGTATTAAAAAGCGGTCTTCTTCATCATTCTCAAAAATTCTTCCTCATTTACTTCTCCATCCCCATCACAACAGCTTCATCAAGCATTTCCTGCAGTTCATCATGGGTTAAATTCTCCCCAAGCTCCTTGGCAGCTCTCCTGATATTACTTAGTGTTATCCTCCCAGTATCATCATCATCAAATAATTTGAAAGCCTTCAATATGTCTTCTTTTTCATCTTTATCACCCATTTTTACACTTATAATGGCAAAAAAAAATTCAAAACTAACGGTGCCAATTCCTTCTTTGTCCATTTCAGCTATCATTTGTTTAACTACTTTTTTCTTTGGTTCAAATCCTAAGGCCCGCAATGCAATCTTCAATTCTTTCACATCTATGGTCCCAGAGCCATCAGCATGGAATAAGTCAAAGGCCTCTTTAATTTCTTGCTTCTGCATTTCCTTCAATTCAATTTTTGCTGCTCTTTTCTCTGAACACGTCGCCCCTCTCGCCACACCCCCCCCTCCACGCCCGCATTGCTAGGGCCGCCCCCAATCTTCATTTTCAAGAGATGACTATTGTTCTATTCTTCTTTCTCCCTCACCCCAGATCAATTCCACTCACAGCAACAGCCAAAATTAAAAAGCAAAAGAAAAAGGACGACATGATAAGAAATAAATGAAGGAATAAGTTAGGAAAAACTTCAGTACCTTGGAAAACTAATCACGGTTCCTCCCCCATTTGCAGAAATTTGATAAAATTTATTTACTTTTTTAAACAAACATGCCAAAAGACCCAAATTTTATTACATGTGTTTAGTCCACCAAAGTACATATTACCTATCAAAATAATAAATCACTATTTTGTATTATGAATCTTTTTTATGTTAATGCCCTTAGGAACCACCACGTTGCTACAAACAACACATTCAATAAATAAATCTTGCTTCTGTAACTCAGGGGTGAAAGCTTAGAATATTTTTTCAACTGTGTTGAGGTCATATGACATTAAACAATTTACTAGAAGACCCAAACAACCAGACAAAAAGTTTATATTTGAGGAAAATCTTCTGGCTGCTTTCAATTCCAACTAGAAGACAAAGACAGGGACAGGGACACGAGTAAATCATGTGCATATCCACAGAACTTATGTCATAATCTAATCATCCTCTTTCTCACAGACCATTCTGTCCTATCTTTTTTATGTTTAAAAATTAGCAGTTCCCCCTTTTCTCATTCATGTTCCAGCTCAAGAACACTAGAGTAACCACTTGATACAGATCAAGAGCTATGAACTCAGAAAATGACAAGGAAAATGGAACTACAGGACAAAACATTGTAAAATATCATAGTATGACTATGCAGTTGTCAGCATTTATCACCACAGTTACAGACAATTTATAGTAACTTTAAAAGCATTTGTTATTGGGCTGGGATGTAACTCAGAGATAGTGTACTTGCTTTCCATGGGTTCAATCCTTAGCGCCACAGAGGTGTGGAGGGGAGAGTTCTTATTGTCAATACCAAACACTACCTTCCTGAAATCTTTATGCTGTCAAAACTTAATATTAGTAATAATTTATCAAAAACAACAGTGATGTGAAAATCGTTTTATTTTTTGTGAACATCAATTTAACTTTTTTTGCTCAATTTAACTCTTTCTCCCTCATCCCAGATCAATTCCACTCACAATAATCATAAACATTGATGTTGCTAGCCCTCAAAATTTGTAGCTTATATATAAATAATTTTAAACTGCTACACAACGTCACATACATGCAAAAGTAGGGGACAGCCATAGGAGAAGATTTTTAATATCAACTTTTGTTATATAGCCTCAAAAAGTTCACTAACCATGAATTAGGTTTGAAAACAGAAAATTGATGATGAAAACCTCTTAAACATTTCACGTTATAAGTCCTCTGTGTTAGGTATCTGCAGAAATAAGAATGAGACGATTCTTTCCATTCTAGAGGCCAACTTAGATGCCAAGAGAGATACACTCATGTATATAAAAGATTCAAATAAATTGTAGAACTTCCTGTAACAGAAGAATAAACCAAGCCCTTCTTTTATTTTGGAAACACAAAATAAGGAGCAATATATTCCAAGTGGGGAGGGGTTGATTAAAAGAAGAGATGACTTTTGAAGTTTGCTTTAAAACAGATTCTCATTCTTAAAGTTCTTATAGTAGATGTTTCCACTCATTAGACTTTGAAAGTTCCTATTTTATTCCCATATATCTGTGCCAGCTAACAGACAACTGGCGAAGAATAATGTTCTGATGTCTGCTGAGTGAATTCATGAATAAGATAACCAAAAAAAAAACAGTCATTCAAACACAGTTTCTACCAAAATCTCCCAAGCTTTCTAACTGAAATCTCTCCTAGATATGATTTTATTGGTGTAGTATTTCCTGATTAAATTTCTTAAAAATTGAGCATGTAATGCCTTTTTCTAAAAAGAAAGAAATTTTTAAAATCTTTCCATGGCCACAAAATCAGTTCCATGAGTGAATAGTAAACATTTTTTTTTAAATTAGAGTGTTATAGTTATAAATAGAAGTTGGGTTTATTTTGACAAAATTACACATGCATGGACTTTGATTTCCTCCATTGCAATAACCTTTTCCTCCCCTTCTCCCTCCCCCTATTCTACGGATCTTTCTTTCATTCATTTATTTATTTTTGATTTGTGTTTTCTGAATGTACATAAAGGTGCAATTCCCTTTGCTGTGTGTGTGTATGTATCAGATTTTGTTAAATTGATTTCTCATTTTCTCTTTCCCATCCTATCCCTCTTCCCTCCCTCTTAATTTTGTACTCCACTCATCTTGCCTACATCTTTATAATATCAGATCCTCCCATCACTTCTTTCCCTTCTTTTGCTCTAGCTTCCACATAGAAAACATTAGATCCTTGATTTTCTACATTTTGCCTATTTCACTTAGAATGATGTTCTCCATTTCCATCTACTTACCGACAAACACTGTAATTTCATTCTTCTTTATGACTGAGTAAAACTCCATTGTGTATGTGTTCCACATTTTCTTAATCCATTCACCTATGGATGGGCATTTGGGCTGATTCCATAATTTGGCTCTTGTGAACTGTCCTGCTAGAAATATTGAAGTGACTGTACCTTTACAATAAGTTGATTTTAGTTCTTCTGAATAAATACCAAAGAGTGGGATAGATGGATCCTATGATATGATGGTTCTATTCTTACATTTTTGAGGAATCTTTATACTGCATTCCTGAATGATTACACTAATTTGCAGTCCCACTAACAATGTATGAGCAACCTTTTGTCCCACATCTTTGCCAACATTTATTGTTACTATTCGAAGTTGATCATTGTCATTCACCACATTGATGCTAAACCTTACTGTAGTTTTGATATGTATTTACCTGATTAATAGAGATGTTGAATATTTCTCTTCTTCTTGGCATCTGACCATTTTCTCTCTGGTAAGGATCTTCATAACTCTCTTGCTTGCTTACAATTCTAGTTCCTTATTTCAATTATTCAATTATTCACCTCTCCTGTGAAACACTACAGCACAGGGACCAAAATCCCCTCATTTAACATTGAACTACATATTGTTTGGCACTGGCTTGACTATCCACCATTATCTGAAACTCAGTGTATTCAAAATGCCTGAGCTCTGTCTCCTCTCCAGCTTTCCTGATTCCTTCAATATTCTGCCATTTGCCAAACACTCAAACTAGAAACGTCCATAGTATCTGCCTCCGTGACCCACACTCAGCCAGTCTCCATCAGCTCACACCCAGTCATTATCTCAGCTTCATAGTTGCCCCACTTCACTGGGGGGGGAGGGTCTTTCCCCCACTATCCACCTCTCTTAAGTCCACCTTCCTAATACAGCCTGAGCATCAAACCTTTCCTATGCAATGAGCTTCAGCAACTGCCAGTCTTAGGGAACATGAAGACCTCACTGGGCTTTCACACAGTCTGCTTTCTCCTCTGCCTGTAGCTCCTTATTGAGCCACTGCCCAAAGAGACCTTTGCTTTGGTCAGGTTCCTCGTACAACAGACTAAAGGATGCACTGAGGACAGAACAGTGTTGCCTAGAAGGCGAGTTTCCTTTGCTTTTTTTTTTTATTTTTGATACTAAGGGGTGCTTAATCACTGACCCACAACCCCAGCCCTTTTTTAATATTTTTTTAGACACAGAGTCTCACTGAGTTGCTAAGTGCCTTGCTGAGGCTGACTTTGAACTTCCTCCATCAGCTTCCTGAGTCCTTAGGATTACAGGTGGGTGCCATCACACCTGGCTCCTTCACTTTTAGAAATGCCCCGTGTCAGCAATTCTGTGCTGAAACTAACCAATACTCTATTTTCTGCAATTTGCTAGCCCACACGTTTCTATGCTTAGACTCAGAACTCACCCCCACCTCTGCTCTAGCATGAGCTCAGCTACCTCCTTGGGATGGTTGGTGTTGAGCCTGGATTTGCTCTTGGGGCTTTGTGATTAGCTGGGTTTTCTTACTGCTCCTGTGGCAACTGCTCCCAGGTCATCACTGTATTTGTGGTGATCCAAGCTGTGGCACAAATCTTCCTTTTATTAGGGAAACACATCGTGATCATTCTTTTAGGTATGTTTGCAGTCGTGTTTTTTGGAATGCAATGCTGGAATGCCTCTCCCTCATCTTTTAACTATCTAAGTACATCTATTTAAAAAGCACAGCCTAAGCTTCAACTCCTTGGCTTATAAAATTCATCAGCACAGACACCTCTCCTGTGAAACACTACAGCACAGGGGCCCAAATCCCCTCATTTAATATTGAACTATACATTGTTTGGCACTTGCTGCTAGTTCACAATTTTCAGCTTTGTCTCCCCAAGTATATAGTCTAATCTCGTGAAGAATAAAAACCATGATGGGTATTCTGGTATTTCCCTGTAGGGCCTACCTTGGCAGGTCCACAGTAAGTGCTGCACCAGAACAAGCTGGCTAATGATTTTCAAAGGACTCAAATATCTATTATTTGTCCAGAACCTCTTGAATTCAATAGATGACAACTTGCCAATGACACAGCTTGGATCACCATCATCTCCCTAGGAAATTGTGGTTCATTAATCTTACTGGAGCCAGGCCTAGATTATAAACACTGTTGTTATATACTTATAAATAAACTAGAAATACTGGGCCAGGGGGAACCAACAGAATGTAAAGAACTGAGATTCTAGATAGGGCAGAGGGGTGGGAGGGAAAGGCAGGGGGCAGGGGGTTAGCAAGAATGGTGGAATGTGATAGACGTCATCATCCAAAGTCCATGTATGAAGACACGAATTGGTGTCAACATACTGTATATACAACCAGAGATATGAAAAATTGTACTGTATACATGTAATAAGAATTGTTATGCATTCCACTGTCATTTATTTTTAAAAAATCAATAAAAAAGAACTGAGATTCTAAAGATAAAACCATA